GGGGGAATTGGAGAGAAGTTGTTTAAGGATACAAACTTGCAAGTAGTAGATAAATAAGTTCTGGAGCTCTAATGCACATCCAAGTGATTATAGCAAATACCGCATTATAAATTTTAACCTTGGTAAGAGACTGGATTTTAAGTGTTCTTAACACAAATAAGTAATCATAATTTTGTGACATGAATGAGGTGGTTACCATTTTGCAATATATAAATGTATCAAATCAACATGACCTACACCTTAAATTTATAAACTATTATATGTCAATTATATGTCAATAAAAGACAAACAAATAAACAAAAGCTAGAAACAATCCAGATGGCCTTCACCAGGTAAATGGTTAAACCAAATTTTGTTATACATTCCATGTATTTAGCAATAAAAAGAAGCCAGTATTGATACACATAGCATTTCCTGTAGGGCAGGTTTAGTGATGTTGAAATCCCTCAGCTTTTGTTAGTTTTGGGAAGTCTTCAGCTCCTTCATCTGTGAAGGACAGTTTTGCTGAGTACAGTGTTCTTGGTTAATATTTTTCTTTCATTATTTTGAGTATATCATCTTACTCTCTTCGGCTTGCAGAGTTTCAGTTTAGGTTTCTGGTCATAGTGTTATGGCAGCTCCCTTGCATGTGATGAGTCACTTTTCTCTTGCTGCTTTCAAAATTCTCTCTTTGTGTTTGACTCTCAACAATTTCATTATAATGTGTTTCAGTGAAGCTCTTTTCAGCTTTAACCTATTTGGGGTCTGCTGGGTCTCATGAATCTGATGTCCATTTCTCTCCTCAAGTTTGGGAAGTTTTCAGCCATTATTTCTCTCTTTCTTCCTTCCTCTCTCTCTCTCTTTCTTTCTCTCTTTCCTTTTTCTCTCTCTCTCTCTTTCTTTCTTTAATTATGTTGTTAGTCACCATACAGTACATCATTAGTTTTTGATGTAGTGTTCCATGATTCATTGTTTGCGTATAACACCCAGTGCTCCATGCAATACATGCCCTCCTTAATACCCTCACTGGGCTAACCATCACTTCACCCCCCACCCCTCTAAAACCCTCAGTTCATTTCTCAGAGATTATGCTAAGTGAAATAAATCAAGCAGAAAAAGGCAATTATATGGTTTCACTTATTTGTGGAACATAAGGAACAGCATGGAGGACATTAGGAGAAGGAAGGGAAAAATGAAGGGGGGGGTCGGAGGGGGAGACAAACCATAAAAGACTGTGGACTCCAATAAACAGCCATTATTTCTTTAAATTAATTTTTGTCTTTCTCCACAATCTCTCCAACATTTGTTGTTTCTTGCCTTGTCCATTTTTGCCATTCTAACTGCTGTAAGGTGGTATCTCAGTGTGGTTTTGATTTGAATTTCCCTGATGGCTAATGATGATGAACATTTTTTTTCATGTGTCTTTTAGCCATTTGTATGTCTTCTTTAGAGAACTATCTGTTCATGTCTTCTGCCCATTTTTTGACTTGATTATTTGTTATTTGGGTGTTTGAGTTTGAGAAGTTCTTTATAGATCTTGGATACCAGCCCTTTATCTATAGTGTCATTTGCAAATATCTTCTCCTATTCTGTGGGTTGCCCCTTTGTTTTGTGGACTGTTTCCTTTGCTGTGCAGAAGGTTTTTATCTTGATCAAGTCCCAAAAGTTCATTTTTGCTTTTGTTTCACTAGCCTTTGGGGATGTATCTTGAAAGAAGTTGCTGAGGCCGATGTCGAAGAGGTTACTGTCTATGTTCTCCTCTAGGATTTTGATGGATTCCTCTCTCACATTGAGCTCTCTCATCCATTTTGAGTTTATCTTTTTGAATGGTGTTAGAGAATGGTCGAGTTTCATTCTTCTGCATCTGGCTGTCCAGTTTTCCCAGCACCTTTTATTGAAGAGACTGTCTTTTTTCCATTGCATATTTTTTCCTGCTTTGTCAAAGATTATTTGACCATAGAACTGAGGGTCCATATCTGGGCTCTCTACCCTCTTACACTGTTGGTGGGAATGCAAGTTGGTACAGCCACTTTGGAAAACAGTGTGGAAATTCCTCAAAAAATTAAAAATAGAGCTACCCTATGACCCAGCAATTGCACTCCTGGGTATTTACCCCAAAGACACAGATGTAGTGAAAAGAAGGGCCATATGCACCCCAATATTCATAGCAGCAATGTCCACGATAGCCAAACTGTGGAAAGAGCTGAGATGCCCTTCAGTAGATGAATGGGTAAAGAAGATGCGGTCCATATATACAAGGGAATATTACTCAGCCATCAGAAAGGATGAATACCCAACTTTTACATCGACATGGATGGGACTGGAGGAGATTATGCTAAATGAATTAAGTCAAGCAGAGAAAGTCCATTATCATATGGTTTCACTTATTTGTGGAACATAAGGAATAGCATGGAGGACATTAGAAGAAGGAAGGGAAAAATGAAGAGGGGGGAAATAGGAGGGAGAGATGAATGAGGGATTATGGACTCTGAGAAACAAACAGCGTTTTAGAGGGGAGGGGAGTGGGGGGATGTGTTAGCCCGGTGATGGGTATTAAGGAGGGCATGTACTGCATGGAGCACTGGGTGTTATACGAAAACAGTGGATCGTGGATCACCACATCAAAAACTAGTGATGTATTGTATGGTGACTAGCATAACATAATAATAATAATGATAATAATAACAATAATAATAATAATAAAAAGATCTAAGCACTACTAGCTATTTACCCAAAGGATACAAAAATACAGATTCAAAGAGGCACATGAATCCCAATGTTTATAGCAGCATTATCAACAATAGCCAAATTATGGAAAGAGCCCAAATGTCCACTGACTGATGAATGGATAAGGAAGATGTGATATGGGGCACCTGGGTGGCTCAGTTGGTTCAGCCGCTGCCTTTGGCTCAGGTCATGATCTCAGGGTCCTGGGATCAAGCCCCACATCAGCTCCCTGCTCAGCTCTGTTCTCTTTCTCTCACTCTTACTCATTCTCTCTCGTTCTCTCACTCTCTCTCAAGTAAATAAAAAATCTTAAAAAAAAAAGAAAAAGTAAAAAGATGTGGTATATATATGCATGGAATATCACTCAGTTGATGTCTTAATTTAGGGTATGGACTAAATGGGTGATGGGTGTTAAGGAGGGCACTTGATGTAATGAGCAGTGGGTGTTATATGTAAGTGATGAATCACTAAATTCTACTCTGAAACCACTATTATACTATAAGTTAACTAACTAGAATTTAAATAAAAGTTTGGAAAAAAGAGATGTAAGCACTGGTTAATGTAAGCTTTGCCCCTTCTTCATCTCTATCTGATTCCCAGTGGTTGAGCCCTGCAGTTTCCTCCAGGTAATCCCCATGAGGTGAGACCTGACTGGGACTTCTGGGAAGCAACTCCTAATGCTGAGGAAACTGATGTCTACCTTGAGTTCTCTTTTTCTCACTGGAGAAACCATAGGATCAGGGTGGAGGCTTCTCAGTGTGGTGTTGTGTTGGCATGGAGAAGGGGTAATATGGTCAGAGTGTAGCCACTCCTCTTGCTCTTCTAATGTGATCCTGTCAGTCCCTGTTGTTCAGAGGTTGCTTCAGCCTGACCTCTGGGTTCTGGGATTTTCACAATCGTGTCTTTCTATGGACAGTTGCTAGTTGGTCTTCTTTTGAGGTGGACTGAAGGTAAGAACAACGTATGTTACCATCTTGATGATATCACTCCCCTATATTATTCTTTGTTTATGACAATTTTTAATTAGCAGAAGTTGAAAAAAGTGGAAAATAGTTTAGTAGTTGCCAAAGGTAGAAAAGAAAATGACAGGAGCAGGAGGGAGTTGTGTATACACGAGGGATGCCAGTGGAGATAGAACTGTTTGGTATTTTGATTGAGCTGGTGAGAACACTAAGCTGCACATGTGATAAAACCATATAGTACTAAATACACACACATACACATAAGTACTGGTGAAACTGAGGAAATCTGAATAAGATTAGTGGATTTGATCAGTATCAATATCCCAGTGTGATATTATACTATAGTTTTGCAAACTATTACTATAGGGAGAATCTAGGGGGGCTGCACAGAGCTTCTCCTTATTTCTTACATCTGCATGTGATTCTACAATAATCTAAATAAACATGTCAATTAAAAAATACCTAAAGGATTAGAAGTTTATACCATACAAACTGTAGGTATAAGAAACTTGGAATGGCTATATTAGTGTGAGAAAACACATGCTTGCAGGCCAGGAACACTATCAGAGATAAAGAAGCCTCATTCATAATGATGAAATCACCAATTGAGGATACTAAAAACGAGCACAGAAAAGATCCTCAAATATATTATGTAAGTGAATAAATAAACCTGAGGAAAAAAACCCTTGCATGGACTTAACATGTCCTTCCTCCTGTATCTACATTGCAAGGAATCTAAAATTACCATGAGTTCCTGGTGTGATTTAAACAGAAGTGCAATATCAGTCACTTTTCAGTAGTAATTGCACCACATTCCACTTTGTTCTAATTAAAAACAAAGGATAGTATATCTTAGCTATTTTAATTTAAATTCAGTACCAAGCAAGAAAAACACTTGCTTTTTATTCTTTCCACAGAAAAATCACACAGCCATTCACTTTTTGCCTCTCAAACTCCATATTCTGGAAATGACTGAAGATTGCATGGCAAGCTTATTTTAGTTTATTTGGAGAGTTGTGTACAGGCCAAAGTCCAATGCTCACTCAGAAGATCACTGAGGGCAAACACATTCAGAGATTAAAATTTTAAACAGATTTCTTTGTCAACAGATAGAAGTGTCTCAGGTAAGTAAATTTCTCTGTGACTTTATTAAAAAATTAACATCTCCTGATTCCAGAAGGACTGGGGATACTGCTTCCACTGCTCTGTTGTAGGAATGATTGATAAGAAACTGGCACTGACTTAGTGTGAATTAATGAAAGGAAACTATTTTCTCCCTTTGGACTTTTCTCCATAAAGTCTCCCCTTGAGGACAACCTGTGTTCACACTCAATGGCCTTTCAGGAGCTCCTGGATCAAGTTGGTGGCCTGGGGAAATTCCAGATCCTTCAGATGGTTTTAATTCTTCCCTCTTTGATGATGGTAATATGTCAAATATTGTTGGAGAACTTCACTGCAGCCATTCCTGGTCATCGCTGCTGGGTGCACATCCTTGACAATGACACAGTTTCTGATAATGATACTGGGATCCTTAGCCCTGATGCCCTCCTGAGAATCTCCATCCCACTGGACTCAGACTTGAGGCTGGAGAAATGTCACCGCTTTATCCATCCCCAGTGGCAGCTTCTTCATCTGAATGGAACCTTCGCCAACATGACTGAGCCAGACAAAGAGACTTGTCTGGATGGCTGGGTGTATGACCAAAGCTCCTTCCTCTCCACCATTGTGACTGAGGTAAGCGGCTCCATTTATCTCTTATGAATATACAGTCTGGGTGTTTATTTATTTGTTTATTTATTCATACAATTTCTTTTCTTTTCTTTTAAGATTGTATTTATTTATTTGACAGCGAGAGAGAGAGAGAGTAAGAGAGAAAGCAAGCACAAGCAGTGGGAGCAGCAGAGGGAGAGGGAGAAGCAGGTTCCCCCTGAGTACTGGGGCTAGAAGTGGGGCTAGATCTCAGGACTCCTGAGTCATGACTTGAGCCAAAGGCAGACACTTAACTGACTGAGCCGCCCAGGTGCCCTGGGTGTTTAGAATAACAGAATAAACATGGTTCAAGTCTTTAGTTATTGTGTAGATACTGTAGTCAGCTCTCTTTCATTCTTTCAGCAAATAGTGATTTGCTTTATCTTTTTTTTTTCATTTAAATTTTAGCTAGTTAACATATAGTGTAATATTGGTTTCTGGAATAGAATTCAGTGATTTGTCACTTACATACATCACCCAGTTTTCATTACAACTAGTGCCCTCCTTAATACCCATCATCCTTCTAGCCTGCCTCCCACCCACCTCCTTCCATCAACCCTCAGTTTGTTCTCTATAGTTAAGTGTCACTTATGGCTTGTTTCCCTCTCTCATTTTTTTCTTTTCCCCTTTCCCATATGTTCATCTGTTTTGTTTCTTAAATTCCACATTTGAGTGAGAGCATATGGTATTTGCCTTCTTAACTGCCAAGCACTTACGTTGAATTTGAGGCCAGTGAAATCAACCAACTAGACATGAATTCCACTAAACAGTGTGAATACTAATGATTAGACAAGTAAGTACTTGATATAATGTGTGAAAAGTTATTTTTGGTCACTTGTTCTCAGCCTAGTTGCAAATTGGAAGTACCCGTATTAATTAAAAAAAAAAAATCTCCATGCCCTGGCTACTTCTCAGAGAAGAAGATCAGAGTGTTACACTCAAGGTAGGAAATGTAGGCATCAGTATTTTAGACAATCTCCTCAGTGTTTTTATGTGTGGCAAAGATTGAGAACCACGGAGGTATGGAGTGCTAAGCGAATATAAAGATTGGCCCTAATATAACCTAGAAGAATTAATTGAGGATTTCTAGAGAAAGTCATGCTTAAATTGAGACTTGGGTGATATAGGTAAGTAAATGTAGGGAAGGGAGGCTGGACAGTGTGTCCACTGACTGCTGTTGCAGCTGGTAAACACTGAGGGATTGTAAGCTGCTGTGAAACTCCTCTGTGCTGATTTCCTTCTCTTCCAGTGGGACCTAGTATGTAATTTTCAGCTACAGAAATCAATTGTTCAATTCTTATTCATGGCTGGAATGCTGGTGGGAGGCCTCATAGGTGGTCATCTTTCAGACAGGTGAGTGTCTCCCGATCACTACTGCCCTTATTCTATGGTGTTTTCATCAGCTTATGATTAACTCTTTCATAAAGAAGTGTTTATTGGGTTCCAATATGCAATTTATACTGTTGTGGGTGGTCTTGGTTCCCATGGAGCTAGAGAAGGAAGTGGAGAATTAGAGTCTGTATGATAAATGCCATTTTGTTGCCACAAATATCTTTGTACAGGACATAGAAATGACATCTCCATAAAACCCGTGGGCATTTCAGAACAATATTTATCAGAAGGTACCATAATACTTCATTTAGAAAGATGAGAAGGAGTTACCTATGGGCAGGGAGAGAAAGGTACTCCAAGACGGGGGTTCAGCTTGTTTAAAGACTCAGATATGAAGAATAACATTGAAAGCCTTCACCAAGTCTTCTGTGTTAAGTCCCTACTGGACCCAGTGCTTGTAAGTTTTCAGACTGATCATCATGCCACGGTTGCCTCACTGTAATTAGTAGACATTTCTATAAAACATAATAAGGTGGTATTGAATTTATATTAAGAAATAATTGTGGCTAAATCTGGCTGTTTGATTTTGTAAAAAAAAAAGAGGGGGGAAGTGAGGCTTTTTAGAGGTAAATTTTTGCAACCGTATGAAGTCATTAGTCTAAAGACCTCGGGTGTCATGATTTGTGTAGTGAGAAATTTGGGGTATCCTGTGCCTGGCAATGCCCATCATGAAGTGGCAGCAAACCATGGCAGGCACACACTCAGGTCTCCCATAGAGGAAATGGGAGACTTAGAGTATCCTTTATCAGCTATTAGGAAAACTTACTTTAATCTTTCAGCTGAAAATTGAGAACTCTGAGTATATCACCCTAAATGTAATTCATAAAAGATCACAGGGTCAAAGTGTTGATATTGACCAATCTTTTGACTGAGTCTTTTTTTGGTAATTCATCATAAAATGCTGATTGATGAGTTTATATGAGCATAGGGTAGCAGATGTATGTGTGTGTGGTGGGGGGGAGGAAGTGGATATGGCAGGATAGGAGAGTAGAAAATTTGGTGAAGAAGACTGAGCCTTACAGCTAAGCCGCAGATTTTGAATTAAACATAGGTAAAAAGCTTCTGAACAATGGTCTTGGCACCAAAAGCACAGGCAATGAAGGCAAAAATAGACAAGTGAGATTACATCAAACTAAAAAGCTTCTGAACAACAGTGGAAACAATCAATAAAATAAAAAGAAAATCTACAGAATGGGAAAAATATTTGCAATCCATATATTTGATAAAGTGTTAATATCCAGAATATAAAGGAAACCACTATAATCAAGAGCAAAAACAAAAACAAAACAAATAACTTGATTAAAAAATGGGCAAAGGAACTCAACAGATATTTCTCCAAAGAAGACATGGAAATAAGTAACAGGTATATGAAAAGGTGCTTAATATTACTGACCATCAGGGAAATGGAAATCAAAACTGCAATGCAATATAACCTTACAACAGTTTAAATGTTTATTATAACCAAAAATTTGTTGTCAAGACCAATGTCAAGGAATTTTTCTCTGTTTTTTTTGTTTGTTTGTTTCCTAGGAGTTTTATGGTTTCAGGTCTAATGTTTAAGTCTTTAACCCATTTTGAGTTAATTTTTGTAAGTGGTATTGATAGAAGTCAAATTACATTTCTACATGTAATTATCCAGTTTACCCAGTACCATTATTGAAGAGACTATCTTGTCTCCGTTTTGTGTTATTGGTTCCTTTATCAAATAGTAGTTGACCATATTACTGAATTTTTAGATTAGCTTTAACAATTTTTTGGTTGAGCATTTAGGATTTTCACTATATAAGATCATATCACCTGCAAACAGAGACAATTTAATTCTTCATTTCTGATCTGATGTCTTTTATTATTTTTTCTTGCCTAATTGCTCTGGTTAGGACTGCCAGTGCTATGATGAATAGGAGGGGTGCAAGTGGGCACCCTTGTCTATTCCTGAATTTAGAGGAGAATCTTTCAACCCTTTACCATTGAGTATAATGTTAGCTATGGGCTTGCCATATATAGCTTTTATTTATTTATTTTATTTTATTTGCTTTTATTTATTTCATAGGTTTGGTATGTTGTGTTACCATTTTATTTGTTTCAAGATTTTATTTATTTCTCTTTTGATTTCTTCTTCTAGTTCTCCAGTTGTTTAATTTCCACATATTTGTGAATTTTCCAACTTTTCTTCTGTATTTCTAGTTTCATCCTATTGTGGTTGCAAAAGACACTTGATATAATTTCAATCTTCTTAAATTTGCTAAGACATTTTCTTGGCCTAACATATAATCTGTCTTGGAGAATGTTCCATGTGCACTTGAGGAAAATGTGTATTCTGCTGTTGTTGGGTGAATGTTCTATGTGTATTTATTATGGTCATTTTTTCTAAAGTACAGTTCAAATCCAATGTTCCCTTATTGATTTGCAGTCTGGATGATTTATTTATTGTTGAAAATGGAGCTACTATTTTTGTGTTTTTGTCTGTTTCTACCTTCAGATCTGTTAGTATTTGCTAATATATTTAAGTACTCTTATGTTAGGTGCATATTTACTTATGATTGATATATCTTGTTGATGAATTAAGCTCTTTATAATTATATAATAACCTTCTTTGTCTATTGTTTTTTTTTAATTGGATAATTCAATCCATTTGTATTTAGAATAATTATTGATAAGTAAGGCTCAATAATTCCATGTTATTAATTAATTATTTCCTGGCTGTTTTTAAAATTTTTTATTGTTATGTTAATCACCATACATTACATCATTAGTTTTTAATATAGTGTTCCATGATTCATTGTTTGTGCATAATACCCAGTGCTCCACGCAGAACATGCCCTCTTTAATACCCATCACCAGGCTAACCCATACTCCCACCCCCCTCCCCTCTAGAACCCTCAGTCTGGCTGTTTTTTTATGTCCCTTACTCCTTTCTTCCTCTTTTGCTGTCTTCTTTTGTGAAGGATCATTTTTCTTAGTGGTATACTTTGATTCCCTTCTCTTTATACTTTGTGAATCTAATGTAGCTTTTTGTTTGTGGCTACTATGAGGCTTACAAAAAATATAGATATAATAGTTTATTTTATAGGTATAAAATGAATGAATGAAATAAATAAATGAACCTTAAGTTCATTCACATACAAACACTACCCTTTTACTTCCTCTCATCTATGTTTTTGTTAAGTGTTCTTATAAAAAATAAAATATAAGAAGGTGAGAGAAACCTTTTGCAGTTAATATGTATGGCATAGTTTGTCGTGATGATTTCACAGGTGTATACTTAATTCCAAACTCAAGTTGTAAACATTAATTATGTACAGGTTTTGTATGTCAAAATAGAAAAGCAAAAAATTAGATAATATATAAGCACTAAGTCTGGTCTTTGATCTGGAGTGCCATTGTTTCTAAGTCCTCTTAGCTGACAGAACAAGGAACTGCATGTGTGTATTCTAACCCATGTACATAAACATGTGTATAAATATTTCTATGTGTAACCATCTGCATGTATATTAAGATACACATGAGTTCATACTAACATCCCCACTCTTATCTGTTACTATAATGACCATTCTAGCCTCCTTCCTTTGCTTCTCTGTGAATTCCCTCTCCAAAAGTGAAAAACTTGTGTTCTACCAACCACCATCCACATAGTCATTTGTTCAATTCCAGTATATACATGCACCAGCATCAGAATTGTTAACCTGAAACCTCCTTGGGAAACAACTTTTATCAACTAGATTACAGGACATATGTGTAGTTTCTTTAGCCTTATATATTTTATGCGTGTCAAAAATCATTTAGAAACTTACATGCTATTGAAGTTGGCATTAAATTCAAACTATATTGTTTTAAATTTTGGATGTTAAATGTCATCACCATGGTAACCACAAAGAAATATCTCATAATATGCACAAAAGGAAACAAGAAGAGACTCAAAATGGTTCATAACAAAAAATCAAGTAAACATAAATGAAGGCAGTAATGGAAGAAATGAATGATGAAAAAGGTGTGAGACATACAGAAAACAGCAAAATGGCAGAAGTAGTTCCTTATCGAACTAGATAAAATAGATAAAATCTTCCTAACAAAAGGCAGAGATTAGCACAATGGATAAACAAAACATGATCCAGCCATAATAAAACATGGTGCAACCATATGCTGTGTACAAGAGACTCAGTTTAGATCTATAGACACAAATAGATTCAAAGTGAAAGGATGCAAAGAGGTATTCCTTAAAAAATTGTCATTAAAAAAGAGCTGGGTTGGTTATAATAATAGACAAAATAGACTAAGCCAAAAATTGTTACAAGAGACAAGGACATTATATATTGATACAAGGGTCAGTTCATCAAGAAGCTGTAACAATTATAACCATATATGCATCAAAGAAGAAAGTCCCCCAATATATATAACAATCATTGGCACAATTGAAGAGCAAACTAATTCTCTAGTAGTAGTTGAAAACTTCAATGCCTCAATTTTTTTTACTTTATTTTTATTTGTTTGTCCATTATTTGTTTACTTATTGCAAATTATGTAGAATTTAAAATGAATGCATTTTAATCGTGTTGTTTGATGAGTTTTGACAAAGGCATAAACAAGTGTAACTACCAGCTCACCAACCATGATGGAAATATGGAAATTTCTATCAACCCAGATGGAACTCTTGAACACTTTTCAGGCAATTTGCATCCCTCAGAAACTATGCTGATTTATATGAGCATAGAATTTTATCTGTTCTAAAACTTCATAAAACTGAGTATTTTTTTTTGTGTTTGACTTCCCCAGCTGAACTAAAAAATTGACATTCCCACATTTGGTTGCATTTAGCTGTAGTTCTTTTTTTTTTTTTTTAACTTCTGAACTTCAGCTAAAATCATTCTCTTTCAGGACATAAGTTTTCGTTTTTCTTGGATAACTGTCTAAGAGCAGAATTGTTGCATTACAGGTCTATTTTTAACTTTATAAAAATACCTGAT